CACAGGAGTAAGGTATCTGGTATGTTGAGACGGTACTTATCTCTTCATTGTCTCCACAACTGGAAGGTTGATCGAGCTTTCCGCATTCATCACATGGTTCACAACTAACCTGTTGTGTCTGCCAAGAAGGTATGCTAATCTAGGAAGATCTTAAAATGTTCTCCGAAATCTTTCCGACATTGACGCAATATTACCTGCTACCTTTTCGCTGTCCTTAAGGTTGTTATTCACGACCGATATACCATATTCCGCTCGAATGAAAGGTGCCGAAGTGCTTGTGCCCCAGGATCTGAAGGATACGACGTCACCTCTCTCCTGAAAAATTAGGTGCCTGTAGAGGTATTGCTTGGCATTCACTTAATAGGTTTCCTGAAGAGAAACATTTGATGCTGTGGTTGCTTCAGAGCGGCAGATTCCTGAAAATTTTCTTTGCTGTTTTGAGACCGTGAATCGTTTGCGACTGCTGCTGGCTGTCCGGTGACTTCTGGAGTGGTGAGCTGGGAGGTTTAACATTTCCGCTGTAATAATTACCTCTTAGTCATTCCACACATCTCCTCAAGACTTCTGGACCAGCTTGCATTTCGTAAGGCGCGCTTCCAATTTATTGCCTTACCATTCCCGTTTCCGAAGGATTTTTACCCAGGTAGCTTACGAGCATGGCATCAGCACTAGGTCGGTGTTTCAAGTCTGTTTGTGGCCCCCTGCCCCCTTTAGACTCACGCATGTACACACAGGTGCAAAATTAGTTCGCACTCAGTGACAAAGCATACACTGCGCATGAGATTCCCCCTCGGTGTGTTTGGATTCGTAATGCCTCTATGGTCTACAGGAAATCTGTGAATGACAGTGTTTATGGATACGTTCCCTTTCACTTTCAAAGAATGTATTAACAAGTCGTTCTACCTGGTCATTTGATGGTTGGTAGCGAGGTGTTGGTACTAAGTTCTGGACTGCATATTGTCCATAAAAAGCTGGGAATGCGGCTGAAGTAAAGCATGTACCACTATCAGTTACCATGGTCTCGGGGACCCTGAAGCACCCGAACAACTTGGTCAGTTTGGTGATAGTACCTTTGTCGTGCGTTGTGGCATGCAAAAAAGTGAGGCAACTTTCTGCATACGTGAACGGTGACAAGATATATTTTACCATGTATTGACGCCGTTAAGTCAGCGTGGATCCCTTCCCATGAACTTTCGGTCGTCTGTTATTGTTGTGAGGGCGACAGAGGTGGGTTTCGTGCCGTGGAAGTGTAGTTAAGTAAATGTCGGCACAACTTTTAGACTTATTCGTCCATCTAAGGCTAATATAGATATCTACGCTCCATGAATTTTATTCTGGTTACACCTGGATGGGCTTTATGTTTCACTGGTTTGGGACTTGTAGTCAAGGCTCTTTTGACAATGCAGTTCTGTCGCCGAACATGATACGTAAGTCTACAATCGATGGTGAGTCACCGTAGTATTGGTGCTGTCGAAGGTCTTGTGTGCGCCGAAGTGCTGAGGTCCTGAGAAACCTTTTAACAGCTCTCAACATCTCAGCTCTTCGGGCAGGTGCTTCGACACCCTTGAAAGCCACTGGCAAGCCAAGTAATCTATCTCCCAGTACTTATCGAACCGCCGTTTCGACTCCTACGGCTGCGGCACGGTGTCTTCTTTTGGAGAGTGGTGAGGAGTGATCAGTAGGGAAAGAGCATCCGCCCGGCCGGAGTCATCCGTAGGGTTGACAGTGGGTGTCAGAATCGTAATCCCAACAATGTGGTAGCTCACAGCTGGAGACGATTTGTTTTTTGAACCAAATTATGTTAACAGGGGTTCATGGTTTGTCAATAAGGTGGATCACCGTCCGTACATCATTTTGTGGGACTTCTTGACTGCGTAAATAATGGTTAAGGCTTGTTTTTCATTTGCAGTGCAGTTACATTCTATGGACATCAGTGAGCCAGGGGCAAAGGCGATAGCCTTCTCGAAACGTTCCGGGAGCGCTTGCGAAACAGCACCAAAACTATAAGTTGAAGCATCGGATGCAACTACAAAGGGTGGTAATGGTCCGCAGTGAGTGGGTCCATCTCCAAAGCAAGCAGACTCACAGTTTTACCGAATGCCTGTTGGCAGTCACCTGTCTAACTCCATTTTACATTCTTCTTTAATAGTACATTCGAAGGCTGCGAGGGCAGTGGTCATGGGGTAAAAATGTCCTGCAATAACTTGTTGGACTCAAGAATGAACGTAAGGCTGTAACATCTTTCAGAGGTGGCATCGGTATTAGCTGAATTCCAGTGTCTTTCTTTTCCAGGCACAATAATGCAGAGGTACTTAAGTTTTCCTGCGCCAAAGTCGTGTTCACTTGGCCGAATTTCGAACCCATGTTCTGCGATACGCTACAAAAGAAGGCCAGGTATGTGCACTAGATCCTCTTCGCTTTTACCTACTGTGTTTACCTCTTGCAGGTACGCTGCTGGACCAATTATATCAAACGGCATCGTATCCACTACTTGTTAGAATACTGCGGGCGGCGTTTCCAAACTGAAGTGAAGGGGATTATGCCTAAGCAGACTTTCGTGAGTATTGATGGTCAGAAGTTACTTGGATTCCTACGCTATTGGAGTCGTTGTAAATGCTCCTGACGACTGCAACCTCGTAAATATATCTACGAGTACTGGCAATGGATATTGCTGGTTCTGAAAGGCGTTATTCAATCCTTCCTAGCAGAGTGGGCACAGGAGTATGATGAAACATTTGTTGACTCACATTTGGCGATATAAGGCGTCCCAATTCTTGCTTCTGGATGGGCAAGGTTGTAAAATGCTGGCCGTTTTGGTAGAAACACACTATTCCCCCTCTAGAACAGAGAGGCAATGTTGCAGCAAATCCACCGAGTGGCACGTAACGAAGATAAGAACTTCCAGAGCTTCCAAACCCAAAGCGAAATCAACCAAATCCCAAACAATTGTTGCCAAACAATGGATGCATATTCAAACAACAAGTGAACCCTGCGAAAATTGTTCTTTACAGCAAAACACACGTGCAGAACTTAGTTAGAAACCTTCAATTTTGACGGCTAAGGCGATTTCTGGCCGAATCCAAGCACGATGGTAACACAAATCGAAACAAGAACTTCAATATGCCTACACAAGCAAACTCAATGAGGTCAAACGAAATGGGTGGTCAATGTTCATGAATATATCACGGAAATAAAAATCAAGACAAGCGGCAGTCAGCTCTGAATATTCCTCATTCATCTAGGCCAATGTATAACACTTTGGCTTGCCCCGGTCGTAAGGCATCTGTTAGCCTGAGATGATAACGTGATGATATTTTAGCGTTCATCTACTTCATGACTGGAGTCTGATTGACATAAAGTTTGGTGGTTTTCGGACAACTTCAGTTTTGGACTCACTCTGGATCGAGAGGACCCAAAGATGGTTGGTCTGCCAGGTGGAGTGCTCCACTAAACTTCACACTATCATATGCAGCAGCACAGTGAACCTCGTCGATGGTGTGCAGCTGTCCCCCTGATACATATGAGCGACTTGATGATTCGTGTGAAATTTTGGCCAGCCTACTTGCTGCCGTGTTTGCTTGCTGATAAGTGTTATGGCACTCACTGCGTCAAACTGAAGGTAAGCCTGCTGTCCATAGATTTTCATGGATATATGTTCCAGTCACTGCGTTGATCCGCTTTCTTGTGGTGCAATTACTGCACCTGATTTGGAATTTTACGTTGATGCAGTTTTGAGTGTTGCTGTGGCCGACTTCAGGATTTAGCACTACCACAGCTAGTCCTATGGATGGTCTTGTGCCGAATACTTCGTGCGTCAATGATTCTTATGCCGGCAAAATTTCACAAAGTGCGAACTACCACAATCCACACTTGGTAAAGGTGGGTTTGGCTTGCTATTGTCACTTCTTTCAAGGTCAGTACCTTGGGATCGTTTCCGAGCTTCTTCGTTAGTCTTTTTCTGCAGCGAGCTGCACTTTCAACCACTGCTAGATCATCCTTCAAGTCGACCAGTCTCTGACATATTTTTTGCAGTTTTCTGGAGTGTTATGTCTGGAAACTGTTCCATCTTAGATAAAACATGATCACATATGTCAACGTTTACCAGAGATCTTAATTTATGGACGAAAGTAAGACACTTAAACTAGTCTTCTGTTATCGAAGAAAGTTTGAAACGCTCACACATTCCATTAACTTAGCGGGCATGTTTGACTCAGTCTCTGCAAGACCAATTTATGGCATCGAAACACTGACACCTAATCCCGAAGATAGATGATTTCTCCCTAAATATCTGTGGCAGAATTCTGATTGTTTCATGCATTTAAAATCTTTAAAATTCGCTAACAGTATAAAATTCATGTAACGACCGTGTCCTTCAGTGCCTAATTTTTGTGAAAGAATATGTGTTTTCCCGTGATATCAAGCGATTTTACGCCAACAAGTCCTCATACTTTTTGAACTATAATTCGAGAGAAACTCAATTCGTGAGAAACTCAAAGTTGAAGAATTATATCGAAGAAATAAAAGAATTCACTTCAGATAATTCAGATCACACTGATGTCGGTGCTGCCTCTTTCCACTCCTCTGATCCTTTTTGATTTCACCCTGTTTATTAAAGCCCTCCATACTGTTGCTTTCTTCTCCACCTTCCTTGAGTGTACTGATTATTCTCCCTCCCATTTGTTTCATCTCCTTAGCCCTTTCTTTCCTGTCGTCCCCTTTGCTTTCCATGATGCAGACGAAATCATCTATCTGGCAGCGAGACAGACGAATCGCCAATTCCCCCTCAGTACCAGGATAAATCATACACTTCCCTACAAACTTTACCAACATACAACCACCAATCCAGTTCACTAGCCTGATGTACTGGAGCAGAAAACTGGAACTGTTTCAAAAGACCTAAAAACAGTCGTGGAGGAATCATTTGGTTTATACAATATCACAAAATATGTTGGAACCATTTAATGTGTATTGAGATCGAAATCGTATGCAATGTAATAAGTGCGGGGTATTAGGTTAATGGCGGTGCAATGCTTTCGAAATCTTACTAGTCCGCTTATCGGGTGGTATTGTTTTCTCGTTGTGGGTGACCAGCTTCTATCGATTTTATTCTATTATTAAATGTCAGTAAGAGTATTCTGTCGCAGTTTCAAGTTTTTATTCTTTTCACTGTGAAATGTTTTTAGGAAACATTTCAAAACATAATTATGTTACAAGGTGAATACCTTGCCTAGAGGGTTGTGTCGAGAAGTGAATAGATTGGACCAATGCCGACCAACTGGGTTGCGGATGACTTAAATGCCGTCAGGAGAAGTATAATTGCAGGAAATAACTATACCTTAGGACGCATTTGTGAGGGTTCCAAAAATAACACATTCGCTATTGTCATACTATAGATGTTGGGTGTTGAAAGATCACGTTGAAGGTTTTAATAGTTCTTGAAACTTACAGTGCCACTTTCTCCCCTCATGAAACCAATTTTAAATGTGTTAGCGCGAACTTCTTAGTATTCATAACCAGGGATAGCAGAACAAGTAACCTACCATAGTTTTTACTAGTGTAGCGTAACACGATCAGAAATTACCAGCTACAGTGAAACTGATCAAGATAAAAATTTTGTAAATCCTTGTTGAGGACACGTAGTCCAGGCGTGTGATCGCAGTCCAAACTGGTACTCCAGAAAAAGCGACAGTCCTCCAACGACGTCTCATAGTAATATGATCTTTTGGTTGTCTGATGTTGGTGGATGCCATGTAAGACAGTGGCTCTCCACATACTCGAAGTTGGGGTTGGACAGAAACTAGAGATTGTCAGAACAAAATTGAAAGAAACGGTCGCCGTTGTCGGTTCGTTGGCATTGAATTCTGTAAATACCCCAATATACCTTTCCAAATGACTCAGCTTCCCTACTCTACTTGAGCGTTAAAGTCACCTGCTATTATGATTATGTCTAGGGGTTTTACTTTCTGTAACACAACTGACAGCTGCTCATGGAAGTTATCTTTTGCATCTTCCAAAATGCAGCCGGTGGGTGAGTAGGTGGAAATTACGGATAAGCATCAGTCAGTCTCACGATCCTGTCAGTCAATCAACACATGGACGGCTGTTGACTAGTATCTAGTCGAGAAGTGCAATTTCTGATCTACAACTCAGTGCTGTGTTTACACCAGCGTGTTCGCCAGAGCTAGTCATTGGAGTTTGCAGAGACTCGTAAGGTGAATTTCGAAAATTCACTACAACGACCAGGTGAAGTCAATTCGGTAACTAAACTCGAGTCCTGTATATGTGTCTGTTTCAGAGACACAGCATACACCCATAGCTAGAGATTCCAGAGTTTCAGTGAGGGGTGCTTACTGTCCGATTTGGTATAGAGTCCGGACATTGGAAGCTTCAACATGAAGTCGATGGCGCAGTCTTAAGAGACTAGAAATGGGGTTTTGATGACTTTTGTCGTTGGCAATGTTTGCGAGTGAATGATTAGGGAAATTGTAAGAGGCTTAATATTCGTATCATGAGACAAGCTATATACTTTCTGACGAACTAAACATAGTACAGTGGAAGGCTAGTTATTTTTAAGGTACCTGAAAGATAACAAGATATGTGTGACCCTGGGATTAGCGTGGCACTGCTGATCATTCAAGGGAAATGCCGTACTGCTGTCACACTCCCGTCCATTCAATAGTAGTGTAGCAGTTTACCTTATGACAGTAACTACTTTTGGTCTTACGACTAACCAACATACCTTTCTGGTATTATAGAACCTCAGAAGAAGAAGCGTCCCAACTAGTATTCATTGGGTGTTTGTGATATACAAGCGTGACTATCAAGTCAAGGTAGCGACTATTGGTCAGCAGTCTTAACAGCAAAGTGCAAACGTGTAGGAGTTACTCCAGTTCACGGTATGTGAATTTGGTCTGGCATACGCTGGCTGTTCACCCTATGTGCCTACACTTCTGCTACCTAGGATTCCCATGTTCTCTGTTTGTTAGTTCATTACTGCCTTGTATCTCCAGCCTGTTTAGCTACTATACCCCTGCATCTACATTTCTACTCCATATTTCTCCTCGTATTAAAACCTTGACCTAAAGTCTTGCTTCCACTCCGTGTTCCTAACATGCAACCATGCCTTTTCTCACCATGGTCAAGCAATGTAAATATAACCCACTCTTACTTATACCACATTTACTGTCCTTAAGAGCTAAGTCTTGCACGAACACGAAAGGTTATGTAAAGTAGTATGTTTGTGTGGAACAGGGTTTCGTTTTAAAAGCACAGAACAATATTCATGTAAGCACCTAATAGGTTAATCCGGTTCATATATAGTATGTCGCAATCGATTTTGTTGATCACACATAGTTTCGTCAGTCTCAAGGACTGTTTTTCAAATTCACTATACCTAGATTGTTTTTACTTGTATGTAAAGGTGGATAAAACGGTAACTAACTATAGCCATGAAAGATATATACATTGTGAAGACAATCCACTTATTATAAATAAATTTATTATGAATATTTGCACACAATGACGTACTTTAATTTCAGTAATTTTGGTACTGGACAAAAATGACAAGTACAGTAATAATAATAACATAATATGTAATAAAAATTCCAACATTGGAGTGTTCACGAGCAGTAATTTTATTCGACATACTACCGAAATTTAAGAACATTGTATGTAGATATTCACTAAAAGCATATTTAGGGTAAAAGCGGTGACTAATTATATGCATCCATGAAAAATCTTCGTTCTCACCTTTTAAAATATTCACCGATGTTGTTAAACAGGGACTTGACCACTCTTATATACATTGCATCGCAGTTCACTGCCAAACATTCCTTTCTTGTCATCCTCTTGGTTTGCATAGCTTTTGGTGGATGAATCTACTACATTGATGAATGTAATACTAACTTTCCAAAATTAATACCTAATGCGTGTTTGGTTTCTTCCTTCATCAGTGTCCATCCATGATAGCAATGTATTCCTTATCGACTACGTTACCAAAGAAATAACTAACTGAGCAATGCAGATTTGTAGTTTTCAAATGAACATGTTAGTACCGGCAGACCAAATACATATTTCTCACTTACTAAATTATCCGTGAATTGTCACCTAATTTTTAGTTTTCATTGAGGCAGTTGAATCGCTCATTAGGTTTTATAAACCATCACCCTTGTGGGTTTTCATTGTTAGGGTGATTAACCTCTCAGTCATTTTAGTAAACTTTGCCAAGTGCATCATAATTTGCTCCATTTAGTTTCTCATATTTACAACTGTAATCTAGCTTACTGTTGAGTGTTACATCTTTTTCAATGAAAAGAGTCCTAATGAACACCCATCCCTACGATGGCTACGAACATTTTATGCTACGATTGTTAATCATCGATCCAAGTCTATGAATGATTAGGGATGTACGGAGGACTAATGACTTTCCAGGCTTTCTAAGGAGTCTCTCAAATACCCCACAGAATTTTGATAAACTTATTTTGCTAGCTCTGGTCTCCATTGAGTACTATATTGGGACCTCTGATTTGTCAGGAACCGCCCATTTCCCTTCACCAACCAAACGTGAACGAAGCGTTTTGTTAGCAAATAACTGACTAGTCGGCATTTCGGGTGTCAGCATAACTACATTCGATGAATCAAAAAGTGCAGCACATGAAGAATTCGTTATACACCCTTGGACTGTTCATAGTAATTTCAAAACCATAAGTATTATTGGTGAGTAAATTTCATAACAGCGGGTTGCGCCCAATCGTTTTACATCACTTACTTAATTCAATTGGTTTTCAGTGTTTACATCCCCTTAATCTATCTCAGCCAACTGAATTGTTCAAGTTTGTTGAATGTCATACTTTAATAAAAGTTTTGTCAATTGCCTATAATTACGTGTCGTTGTTTGGCTCACTTAAGTAGTTAACTTCCAAGTGATGGATTTTGGGTTCAAGTCCTGTTTCACCTGCTTTGACCTGGGCAGCCGGGTAATATCAAGACCTTCAATCAGAATGACTCATTGCCTAGTAGATAAGCATTTACCTGGTTGGGTTACACTAATATTCATTCATTTCTTCTAGGTTTCATGATTTAAACCAATAATCGATATTGCTGGAGGATTTCCTAGCCCAGGCTTGTGATGTTGATTAAGTTTCTCTGTGAAAGGTACTCCGTTAAAAATCATCGCTTTTATCTCTAGTGTAGAAGTTTCAAAGTAGGCTAACAAAGCGTATCACTGAAACCATGTTTGAAATTGTATTTTTTCTCTCCGTAAATCACAAAGAGGCAATCGACTTTCATTCAATAAATCTAGGGTTACAATCTCTCTCCACATGTTCCGATATGGTAACCAGGTAATTCCATTAGCTTTCGCACATTGCATGTCTGTGATGGGTTGAGTTGCGACACGTATCTGAAGTCTAGCGAGGCAGAAATAAAACAGTAGGGTGAGCTTAAGTATCAGGATGAGCATTGTAATACCAAGGCGATCCCACCTACTGGCCCTAGAGATTTCGGCAACAAGAGAAATTCGAGCTTCTCTCAAGGATGAGAATTTATTCAGTGAAGAGCTAGTTAGACGTTTGTCGGACAGTGTCGCTCATGCTTTGAAGCCTGGTGCCATTTTCAGCCTGCTGTAAAAACAGCTTGAATACCTTCAAAAAGAGGTTATAAAAGGTCAGAGGATCTCATCAATTTCTTCGAAACTAATGGTTACACGCAAGCTCATTCTTGCAAGCTTAGAGCACTATGAAAAGCGATAGCATCTCGAATGTCAGCTGGAAGAAGCTTTCGGAGTGACCACGGGTAGTGGTAGGCAGCAACACTAAAGAGAAGAAAGAAAACTGATTGAGATGGGTGACAGTAGGAAACAAGCAAAACAGTCAATGATTAGTGAAACTGTCGCTGAATATAATGGGTTTACAATTTTTTGAAAGGGGAACGGTTGGTGCAACACTTCAGCAAATAGTTCAACCGACCTCCTTTGGTTGCCCATTACCCAGTTGGATCTTGGGTAAAACTTTGTGATAGGGCCATCAACTCTCGCAGACGTTGAGAGGGCTGTAAGTAACCTCGGAACGAAGAGGAACAGGGTCAAAAGACCTAGTACCATAGGTACCCAAGAACAGTTGCCAGGGATTGTTGGTTCGATTATCTGAGGTGTTTGCTGGTGTATTGGAATCAGATATGATCATCTCTGACCGTTGTCAAACACTGATTGTCAATGGCTTCAAGAAAGGTGATTTTCACTGTGATAACCACAGGGGAATCAATCCGGCGAACATAGTATTTAGGATTCTAGGTTCTATAGGCACTAGACTTTTGAAGGGAGCTCGAGAACAGCAAAGTCGAGAAAACCAAGCAGGTTTCAGACTTAGTCGTGGGGGTAGCGACCAGATATTCACATTTGGCCAGGTTTTAGAATACGGGTGAACTTACCGCTACCTGACACTAGTTATATTTCTTGGCCTGGAGTCGATCTTCGACACCATCAAGCTAAAAAGGTTACGGCTCTGTCACTCAAACGAGCAGCAGATAAGTTTGTCACTCTCTTGAAGCTAGCGGCAGGCGTTTTAGGGCCTGTCGTGAGCTGTTTACGTCCAACAGTGTTCATCAACGGTATGTCCACTCCCCATTCTTATTTAATTTGTCATAGACGTGCTTGTAGTCTCCCTCTGTTCATCTGGCTTTAAAGAAAATAACCTATTTGTGCAATATTTCTTAGTAAACCTCGAGTACTCAGATAGTAGTGGTCGTAGGTGAAGATGCAGTCTTCTAACCAACTTGAGATGGAGAATGTTTGGTAAGTGTTTCTCACCAAAATCCAAATTGTCAGTGCCTCATCTCACAATAGGAAGTGAAGTGGTTGAGTACGTAGACCACCTCACTTAGTATGTCGGATCAACCTTGGTCGGTCAGTAACCGATAGTCTCTGCATGGATATAAAAGGCTTGCTTGGCCCTCACCAACTCACACCACTCAGGACGCTGTCATGATATCAGATTACCTATTAACAGCCGAGTCCACTGAGCTGTAGCTCGCTTTGTTCTGTTATGTGGCTGTAAAACATGGTCATTGAGGGTGGAACAGACGTTAGAGCTCCTAGTTTTCAATCACTCCGTAGCATAGATCATGTGTCGTAGTGCCACCACGTCAGTAATGTATATCAGGCGTAGAGTTTTTAGCAGAAGCGCCAGGTCAGTTGATGAGGTTGTAAACCTCCATCTACGGAAATCGATGGTTTGGAGAGCGTAGGTGATATGGCTCGGAATCGACCTTAATGACACAAAGATACCATTTTCATTTGAATCGTCATGCTAGATTTCAGCATAATCTCATTCCTTCTCACCCTCTTTCCACAACTTTCTATTCCATACTTCCTAATTTCTCTTTTGTTTTGATACCATCTACTTTAATATGCTGATATGAGGTGTAGCAACTTAAATGACTGCATAGTAATGTCAGGTTTCATACTTGTATTGATTGAGCTATATCTCCGCAACCGTAACTTGACTGCCCTGGTATGGCTGTGCATTCATTGATAAAATTTGTTTTACAGAAGTTTCTCTTAACACAGCCATGCACTAATCGCGTCTTTTAGTTAAGTTTGATCATCTGCTGTCACGTGACAGGACGTTTTACGTAGAAGTGAAATAGCGAAAGTGTTGGTTTATTGCTTGATACAGAGGGTTCATTTAAAGGACTTAAAAAACCAATTCCAGACTAACAGTGAATATGCACTGTATGATCTAGAATGAATAGCCTGCGAACCTACTTTCATCATGAACGATTATGAGAATGCAGCCCTTAGCACTACTTCACCACTTTTTGGATTAGACTTCGAGTCTGTGGCTTATGAAGTCTCCCCTAACCATTGTCTTAGGCTTGGTTATCCCAGCATTATGTCTGCTCTTGCACGAATTATCAAGTCACCATTGCTTAAGCTCTATGAATTAACCTAACAGTAAAATAGTTGATTGGATGCTATTTTAACGGTATTTATTTCGTTAGTATCCGCAGAAATCTTAATTTTCTCATGAACATTTCAATTTTTCTTTATTTCTATCTGTGTTAGGTTTATCAGCTGTATGCAACAATAATTTTCAATACATTGTAGTAAACTGACATTGTGTACATCGAATTTTTTTCAGTTCAAACGCGTTCATGGAACCTTTGATAAAAGCCGTGCGTGATTTTCTTAACCTTTTGGAACACAGTAATTATAAATTTTGTCAACCAAGATGATTATTTAGATCAACAAAATATCATTAGTGTTCAAAGTACTCCGTCTATAGGGAATAATCCCGTACCAATGCCTGGTTGTCCAGCATGTCCAGCTAATTTTGTTCCTGTGAATCATAGTTATTTTACTCAGGAGCCAGTAGTACTGATACCTAGATTGATGGATAACTCGGCTGCTAACAACTGTAGTATTGACACTGTTTGGTAGGTTTTGTAGTTATTGTTAACTTATGATCTTTTTTAGTAACGCAATCAAGTCACCAAGATTTTCCCTTACCTTAAATACCTCAGAGATAATCGAGCTTTATTCATGGTGTCCTGTTGGACCCCAGTCAGATGGAGATTGTTGTCTTGCTGGTATCGAAAGAAGATCAAGCCAAACATTATGTAGATTTGTGATTACAAATCGTGTATCATCTGTCTCAGAAAGTGATCGAAATGTTCATACTGAAGACGGTAATACTTATAATTTACGTGGAAGCTTTTCTTGGTCAACATTTTGTGCACTTAACCCTAATTTACCACTAAATTCGCCTCCAAATGGGATAATTGATGCATTTTCTGGTGGATTCCCCATAAGAAACTGGAGAAGTTGGATCCAAGGATTAAATTACTTTCTATCTACGGGATCCGAAAGGACTAAAGAACCTGCTGCAACTGGATCCAATCTGGAACCTAGGAATATGATGACTTTTCTTGCACCCCAGCCGAAAAAGGTAGTATTTTGTTAGTTTGCAGCACAAAAATTTGTTTGCCGAATGTCTCACTCGAAAACTGATCAATGAGTTGACCTTATAGAGTGTTTTTTCACTTACCTATATGCTCCTTTTACTCTTCGTTGGTACGTTGAAGCGAATCCAAATAGACTCAAATCTTTACTTTTGCTGACTGTTCAGTATATTGTATACTGATGTTGGCACGTTTCCAGCAGGTTTCGACTACTCTTTATTCTTGTCTTTAAACACTCATGGGTTTTGTAAAACATTGTTTTGTCAAGGAAACTAGTTGTAGGAATTTTTTGTCGTTGCTGCATTGTGTTTCGTATGTTCCATTTTCTGTTAATTTATTATCTTGACATAACTATGGACAATAAATTGTGTTGGAAACGTAATTCAGTAAATAGTACTGTTTCGTTGTGTGATACATCTAATAAATCACCTAAAGTGGAATTACATTCTACCGCAGTGCTTAAGTTTTACTCTTATGCTATTGTTTCTTGTATTGTTTTACACTTATTGGAGCTTTTTTATGTTCTTCTGTGATCTCTCTTTCGTAGTCCTGACAGCTTCCAAGTATCTTGAATAATTTATTTTTTGCATGGTTGATTGCTTGGGGTGGTGCTTATTGTCTTTGCATTCATCCACTCATTAGTTTTCTATTTCATGACTTTTAAGACTGGAGATTTGAACTGTACGTATTCGGAATCTTCCCCTCGGATAACAATAATCGATTGTTCACTTATCGTTTTGAGTAGCATTTACCTTATTGCATTTGTTGATCTCGACATGAATATCAATATTAACATGCTAAATCATTGACAAAGCTAGAGCACGGAGATGAACTAGTCCTGTTATTTGGACACTGATAAGATTCAGAGTCTTCTGGACACTTTGAAGGGGAATTTGAAAATAGTTGGGATGCATTTCTTGCCACCCAAATGCGAATTGTTGTTCCAAGACTGGTCTTCAACGGTTCCCCGGCTAACAGTAGGGATTAAGGTGGTTGAGTGTGTTGACCACTTCACTTACCTGGAAAGTGGAATCAGCTCTCATAGGTCAGTGACCAACGAAATCTCTTCATTTACACAAGAGGCTCGATGGACTTTCGCCAACTTACGCTGTCTATGGGTGCCTCCACGATGTCTGACTGTCGAATAAGGGCCAAGTGTGTTGTGCTGTAGTTCGCTCTATCCTAGTATATAGCTGTGAAACGAGACCATTAAAGGTAGAGAATATGAGAAGACTTCTTGTGTTTGACCACCATTGCCTTCGTAGCATAGGCTTTGTCGTCATGGGTCGTGGATGAACTCCCGTAGTACTTTAAGGGACACAATTTCTTTACGAATAAAATGCATTCTTGTAGGTTTGATTTTTCGCAAAATTTGAATTTTTGACGTGTTAACTAGTGTCATTTATGTTGTTTGTTATTCGATTTCGTTGATCCTAAAAATAACCTGTCACCATTGGCTGATGTAAAATATCAAGTGCAAATTTATTAAACTTGTTCCTGTAGCCTGTTAAGAAAAGTATATTAAGTAGCTACATTTCTGGGAGCATATTTCGTTTGAAAGAAAATGCATTGTTCAATTCACTGGTTATTTTCCTTGCTATGCAGGATTTTGTGTGCTTTCAGTTGATTGTTATTGTTATTTAAAGAATAAATCTTATCTAGTGATCATATTACCGACGCGGTCATCCTTAGTTTCACTGCACAATACCGTAAACTGACTACCTTCCTTCTTATTAATACTACTGTCAACCGGTAATGTTTAATTCAATAGCCGTTGGAATAAGTTGAATTCTAGTCGTCCAGTAGGTATTCGACAATAACTTCAGTTGATGAATAACAGTCTTCACTAGTTTTAAATACATGTCACCAAATTTCAGTAATAATTCCAGGTTATTTCCTCTGAATATGAATAAAACTGTAAAGATAGCAGTAGCCAGTAGTGAAATACAAAGAACGATCAAACATTCTCAGTTTATACACCAACGCAGGCAGATAACGCTGTAGTACCAAGGGGCCTAGTTTAAATACTACTTCCGACACGTCATATTGATGTGATGATGGTTTTACAGTCGTTCCATTTCTTCGGTTGGTAGTACCACCAGGGGAAGACCCTATTGGTTTTTGAATACTACTTACGAGCTTATGAACAAAATTTTTCATGATTCTGTTTTTTTATTTTTTGTTTAGGGCGATCAATACAGTCGTATCTTGAGTTCACGTAATCATGATGTGGATTTGGATTCATTTGTTCAGAATACATTTCACCGTTTAGAAAATGATTTGCAAACATCTAATCGTGTTGTTAAACTCAGTGAGTTTCATTTTATTAGTGTGTTATGATTTGTTGACTTGGAAACTTTTTATATTGGTCTTTTTGATGTGTAGTGAGTAAAGAATTAACGGCAAAACAATGATTATAAAGGGAACTATTTATTTTTTGGAGACTTTGAAAATAGTTAGATGTGACACTAGAATCATTTCTAGGTTGAGGTCAGCGGTCACATAGTTTTAGGTTTAATGGTATGAAACACGACGAGGAGCTATAAGTTTGCGTTACGGGCACCTACCAGTTAAACACGTTTACAATCATCAAGTAACCTGTTTTCTATCAGAGATTCGAACCATCATTTTAAAGGGTACATGGGAGAGAGTTACAAAGAACTTTTTATCATGTTATTCAAAAATACTTTCGTCTGCCGTTTATGTCAGCATCATATCTTAAGCTGCAAGGCCTTACATGAATAAAGAGACAACAGATAAGACGGTTTGTGTTGATCTGAGAATACTTAGCTCCTTCTGGCATGTGAGAGATTGAAAACTACTGAGAATTCCTGATACTTACGACTGGCTGTATCGACTACTGTAGTACATCTTTGGGTGCAGGTATCTTCACTAGTTCTGGATAGACAGAGTCAGAACCTGTCTATATTTAAGACATCGATGGCCTGGCTGTAAACTATTTCTAAGATATGTAACATCTTTAGTACAATGTTCAGTCGATAATCAGAACAATGTTAACGTGTGAAGTGCATAATTTGGCTTCAGTATGTAAGAAACAGAAAAATAAACGAACCGAACATACCGATCCGAGGTGGTGGACATTTAAACGAAAAATCTCGTCCTTTTTACAATTAAAAAGTACGACCCAATGGCTAATACAGTCCTACGGAAAATTAGTCACGTTGTAAAATCTAAGTGATACAACCTTGAGTATTTGAAGAAGAGTGGTCTCTTCCAAGACTGTGGATGCTTTACTCATGAATGCGAGCTGGTGCGAAACCTTGGTTAAGCAGAGCTCCTCACTGGGTTGATTTTAAATTCCTAGTACGAAAGTACATTGTATTTCAACTGTTTGTTGTTTGGTACATGGATCACATACCCATCTTGGTTGATAGACGTCGATCCGCACTTGGCACTTGACAACCATATGAGTAACTGTTTTGTGACTAGTTTGGTTACATTAGACTACTGAAACTCGATGCATATAGTCCTCATTTTTGTGGTAAATAAAACTCAAGATCTTCGAAATAATAACATTACCGACATTTTTAAGCGTATAGAATGACGACTGGATGTTACTTATCTTTGGATTTCAACCGCCAGCTTCACGGTTCGTAAGTGATTAGTATTCTAAACAAAAATTTGTACAATACAGTCTTATACGTAATTGGGATATTGATTTTATCCAGCTGAATCCGTATTCAGTTGTCTAATATTGTCCGCATGCAATTCCTAGCGTTCGACTGCTGGTTTACTTTAGTAATTATGTATCAAGTAAAGGAATAAATATGTTCCACTAACCCGATTAGAATGGAAACTTAAACAAGCGAAACAACTATCTGGAGTTTCAGTACCTTCAATGTGACCAATGAAATCTGGTTTAAGTTAGTGTCCATCTGTGCATGTAAGCTACTTGTACGTGTACTTTGCTGTGGAAATTGTTAATCATAGGTTTTCAAAATAATGTGCTAAGTGAGAAACCACTATTAGATGGCGTTATCAATTAAAATATTGAAGAAAACTTTTCTTTGACAAACGGATTTCATATTTAGTGCTGATGACTGAAGTCGTTAACTGTTTTCTCAATGAGTTCAAACCAGGAATTTTCGGTTGTATGTAGCTCATCAACGTGGTGCAGGTTTATGTACCACGTCTAGCGCCAAGTTCAGTGTGTTAGGGTATGTGTTGTGGTCTTGTTATTCGCCTACCGATGGTTTCTACTCTGATGTGATAGTCAGTTTCGTGTATCACAATCACCCAACGAGCTACACTGGCCGGAACACTTCTTTCCTGGAGGTCCTGTCCAAAAGGTATGTTAGATAGTGGTTAGATGAAAAGAAATTACCGTCGTGTAAATTGCTACACTATGATAAGGGTCTGAGGGTGGAGTCGTATTGCTGCTAGCTAGCTGGATGCGGTGTAACAGCAGTAAAGTGTTTCACTTGGATGACCATCAGTGTCTCACTAATGCTGCCTTCGCAACTGGAAGGTTTGGGTTCGAAAATGTTGGCCACAAAAATATCGCACTCCTCCCTCCACTGCAGTCTTGCGGGTGCCCGATCGTGTGGGTTTTCCCAATCCGGCGTTAGAGCAGACAAGTCGTAAACCAACAGTCCTCAAAAGGCTGTGTGTAACATGGCTCAAGCAGATGTCTCATGGGCTCTATGGTCATAATTTTTAACGTACTCTGCAGAAGCAACCTCCAAGATATGAGCACGTGGGAAGTGCCAACCGCCGGCAGTGATATATAAGATCCAATCAAACATAACGTGTACTCCTCACTTTTATCTCTACCTTTGCCTTCACCTTCTGAGACTAATAATAAGCCTCTTACAATTTCTTTAATCATTCACTCGCAAACATTACCGACAATCACAGTAATCAAAACCTCATTCCTAGTCTAAGACAGCGCCATCGAGTTCATGTTGAAGCTTTCAACGTCCGCTGACAGGATCGTGAGACCGACCGATGCTTATCCGTACTTTCCACCTACTCACCCACCGGCTGCATTTTGGAAGATGCAAAAGATAACTTCCATGAGCAGCTGTCAGTTGTGTTACAGAAAGTAAAACCCCTAGACATAATCATAATAGCAGGTGACTTTAACGCTCAAGTAGAGTAGGGAAGCTGAGTCATTTGGAAAGGTATATTGGGGTATTTACAGAATTCAATGCCAACGAACCGACAACGGTGACCGTTTCTTTCAATTTTGTTCTGACAATCTCTAGTTTCTGTCCAACCCCAACTTCGAGTATGCGGAGAGCCACTGTCTTACATGGCATCCACCAACATCAGACAACCGAAAGATCATATTACTATGAGACGTCGTTGGAGGACTGCAGCTTTTTCTGGAGTACCAGTTTAGACTGCGATCACACACTAGTATGAGGTCGTATGTGTCTGCCCATTACTGGTTACAGGAAACAGGCGACACTAAAGCCTGTCTGTGGTAGACTGGAATATGAGGACGCCAAGTATGTACTTAGCAAAGAGTTAACTAAGCATTTATCCGTACGAGACAACAATGCTGATGCTGAGGAAACCTAGCGTCATATTTTCTGCTGTAGAAATAGCGGTAGACAGTTTGTAACCTACACCCGAAGGTTAATAAACGTCATTAGATTTCCACAACTTCATCGGAATTGATTGATGCAAGAAGACTGATTTCACCTGGCTGTGACCATGATGAAGAGCGGGAGCAACGTAAACGCGAATTGACCAAGAGTCTTCATTTTGATGTTGTGACGAAAGCGAGAGAGATGGAGTAGGCATCAGCGTTGGATAACACTCGATAACTAGTAAACTTATTAGGGATACAGGCAAGCGTGTTTAGTGAAACTATCACGGAAAAAAATTTAACGCTGATAATGTCCCAGGATAGGTGACTGGAACGTTGGGCAGAACACTATGAAGCACAGTTCAATTGGTCCTCAATAATACTTCAGTTGTCCAGTTGGGATGTAGATGTCGGTCGTCCAACTCCCTTTCAAGTTGAGAATGTTGCATCCAACCTGAAACGACGCAAAGCAGCATGGCCTAACAGTTTCCCACTCGAAGAGTAAGAGAGGAACTAGGTAATGCGTGGGAATCAGAAGCAGTACCGTCATACTCGTCTACATCACCAGTCGTTCCAGTCTGTAAGAAGGAAGAGAAGTATTCTGGTGAAAAGTATAAGGATATTTTTTTACACGATCTTCGTGTCCAAGATCATATGGTCAATAGTTGTCAGACTTACATTTAAATGTCGAGAACAGCATATTCGAGAAAACCAGGCAGGTTTTGGACCTTGACGAGAGTGCGTCGATCATATTTATAGTGCTCGTCAGAATAGACGACAGTCAGTATTGTGAAGCAAAGATGCTTGTTGTCGCTGTTTCCGTTTAACTTCGTTACATATTTTGTAATAGATCTGACCATAGGTAGGTTTGGCTTTACAGGGATTAACGTACTTCCTGTAGGTCATCTAGCTAACTTGGAGTGCGCAGTCGATATTGTCCTGCTAGGTGAAGTTGTCGACGAAATGCAGCGTCTTATGAACTCGTTGAGTCGAAAGTCTGAGTAGATTTAGCATGCGTTTTGCACCTGTGAAATCTAAGATGATGCTTCAAGGCTGTCTGCACAGCCCTCCCAGTTTAATGACAGGGAGTATAGTGGTTGAGTGTGTCAGTGTTTTTATCTGCAGTATATATATATATATATATATATATATATATATATATATATATATATATATATATATATATATATCGTGGAGCGAAAATAAAGTGTAGATTTTACAGTGTGATTGTACACGTATTCCAAGTTAGTTTTATGGGGATCAGATATCCCTAGCAGTCGTCCATTTCACTTACTTGAGAATTGCGTCAGCTGAAATGGGTTGACTACGTACGAAGTCTCAGCTGGGATATAGAAGGCTCGCTTGACATTTGCCAACTTGCGTCATCTGTGGCGCTGACGATTTATCCGACTGTCTCAAATGACGGGTGTACTGAGCTGCAGTTCATTCTGTCCTTTTATACGGTTGAGACATAGTCATTGAAAGTATAAGGCATGCAGTGGTTACAGTATTGTGGTCATTGGTCTCTTCGAAGCATTGCTTGCGCCTGGTGGGATTACCGTGTAAACTGTGTTGAGTTCAGGCGAAGCGTACTAGGGAAGACAGGCAAGTCGATTAATGACGTTGTGAACCTTCATCGCCTGACGTGGCTTGGATATGTGTTGCATACGCCAAACCACTACCAACCTCGACGTGTCATGGTAGGAGAAGCTGGAGTAGATTGGAAGGGGGTTCAGGATGACCAGACGAAGAGGTGGCACCAGTCGACGACGTCTCTGACTGTCGATCTGATTCGTGTAGGGAGATATAGATTATGTGGTTGGGATCGCTGAGACGAAAGGAATCAGTTGGCTGAGAAGTTTAGTGACATATCTGAAAATCGATCTCAGTGGCGCAGATGTACTCTACTTAGGTATCAATCTTTTTCAATCTACTTATTCTTTGTTTACTGCTATGAAGCGTGGTCACTTGAACTGGCGGATTAATGTGACATTTTCGACATTGATTTTTCTGTCTCTCTTGTTGTTCAATCCAAAATGGTTGCTTCAGGGTTTAGATGTGTAACGTATTGCTTCCCAGCTGTTCGTTGATCAGGCAGTTCGAATCCTTCTGCGGTTGAGATTTTTTAAAAGTTTTGAATAATTATTTCTCCGTTTTACTTCAGGTGAAAAGTTTACGGAATACACGTTTCCAGTTCGCTTATTACCTCGCTTTCACTTTGTGTATTTTTTTGTAGAAAATGTTAAGGCGAATCATCATATCCGGAAGATACCCACGGAAGACACTGAAAATAACTCATCTGTAACTTCTTACTCCCATTTCACATCCGTATCTAATAATCAATTGGTTAACCATCGGTCGAGGAAATCTAAAAAGAGAAATTCTTTTATGGGAAGGTTGGAAAACAATGTGGAAAATGGGTTGGATGCGACAGATTATATGAATAAGCCAAGTAAACAAAGAAACAAGACGCATAAACCCATTTTAATTACAACTAAAAAAGGCGATATTTTGCAGAAACGTAGAAATGAACCACTACGTAATATCGTTTCAAATTATGACTCAACATTGAACGATTCCGATGATATCGATTCACGTTATCGTTTGTATACAGCTTCAGGTTAGTGTTTATTACTTTGAAATAATTCAGAATAATTTTTATCGAGTATAATTTTGTTCAGTTGACTAAACCATTGTTTGCATCCATCTTCTCTCTGTTTGTACTCTAAGCTGTTTTCGAGACTGATTCCGACTTTCTGCTGTTAGAAATGTATCTTAGCGATTAGCGGTGGGTCTCATTTTCCGTCTTGTCGATGAACAAAATAAAAGTAATTAGCGATTGGAAAAACTAGTAAGGGGATTTTTTCAGTGCATTAGTAAGAATACTAAGTCACAAAAAAGGTACTCATTTGGTACTTTGGGAATCAGTGTTTGTCTTCGTCCGGATACTTTCAATTGTCTGATTGATATCAACGTAATGTGTCGACCGGTAGTCATATTGAAATCGTTATTTTTGCATATTCCTGACTGTAGCTTAAGTATTTTGCTGTTACATAACCCCTGATGAGTTTCATATCTGTGTTAATTGTTATAAAATATAGGATCACTTATTATTAAAAGAAAACAAGACAGTCTTTTAACTCCAGTTGATTGGTCCATACGTACATGCGGATGAAGCTAACATTAGGTATGGCTAAAGCTCAACTGGTTAGCCACTCGGTTCATGTTTTTAACTCGATTTACACTATTCACATAAAGTAACCTGTCTTAACTCAAAGCTGATTCTCTCAGGTATTCCTCTGGTTTTACGTTGATAATGCAAACAGAAATGTACGATTATTGTGAATAGGTATCTATCCATCCATTTAACTATTGGCTTATTTGATTCAAGCAATAGCGATCCTCATTCATTCATACTCAGCTGATATCAGCAGGAGGAAGCTGTGGCTCATCGGTATAGGCAGTTGACTTCCAGCCAATCGATTACGGGTTTGAACACCATTACACCTACTCAGATTTGAGCTGCCAGTTAGTATCATTCACCCTCATACAATAGCTGTGACTCACTGCCAACTGGAGGAGTTTGCACAAGGTTGCTGAATGCGTTTGCTGATAACGATGGTGGCTAGTACGCACCAGTATTTTTACATATCTTCTTGAGAAATTGAACCTACTATTTTTTTTAGCTCTATCTCCCCCTTCCTCGCTTTCTCACTCTCCGTGTTCACGTTCTGTGTATTCACTGGCAGTTTTTGGAGATCTAACTCATTGGTCTGCATACTCGACTTTCAACCAGTGAGTCACAGGTTCAATTCCTTTCCCCCCCCCCCCCACTTACCGAGGTTTGGACAATCAAGTAGTATCATTAGACCTCACAAAATGAACAAGCACATTGTTGTTAAGAGAGTTTGGCTTTTCGTTTAGTATTTTATTCTGCGTTGATTATTCCTCTTACTTTTTGTTGTTTTATCGCTTTTTAGTATTCGTTTTGCCACATACTGTTTAAATGTTTCAGAACAATAAGCATCCAGTTTATCATTAGATTACACTTTGTAAATGGCCTACATCATACACTAACGTGTTTACTTTAATTGATGTATGATGTATCGGAAACTTTGCATATAATTCTTTCTGATTATTATCTTGTACTGTGATGATAAACAACTATAAGCGTGGAAATGCAATTTTTAAAAATTGACTTTTTTGCAATCTCTGTATAATCAGAAAGTAGTAATAAATAGTTTCAGTAAAAATATTTGGTGATGTATAAAGAAAGACTGATTGCTGAGGGCCTACATTTATGGGACAATTTCAACAGGTTTAATGGACGAGACGGAATGCAGTTAGCTGCACCGTGGCGAATAATAATTAATAAATAGACGTAAAAAAAGCAAACCTGCACTAACAGTGATGTTTTATTTTATTTATTTTCGATTCTTGTTTGTAATAATGGTATGATCATCACCATCATCTACAGCAAACAACGTGCAACGATTCGTATCACTTTATTATTATTACTTCTGCTACATTCAAGAAATAAATGGAAAATACTGAGTCTTATCAATATCATTTCATTCTCATTGCCCAATCTTCTTTGGATTATGATTGTTTTTTTTCCAATATAAGTATCGTGCACTGATGTATGTGATGCAGAAATGTGTACCAGTGTGTGCGTGTGTGTTGCATTTAAGACGTGAGGTGTTACAGGGTGTCAGAGGCTGTAGGTGTCAATGAATAAAGAATATGTACTTTTTGTACGTATATGGTATAAAATTATGCAGATATGCATGCTATTTTAGTCCTTAGTTGCAATTATATATATATATATATATATATATATATATATATATATATATATATGACTCGCAGCTTCAGTAAACATTAAAAAGTTCACTCCGCCTTAAAAATTGGAAGTCGTTTGTAGATGAGAAGCACTTATTATAAACTTTGAGAAAACAATTACATGATAATTTAAAAATGAAGATTACTTATTATAATGGAATTTTTTAGGAGTTGGATACTGTATATCAGAACCTATTAAAGATGTTAAACGGATCTAACTCTGATAAATCAATCGGAATCGGATGAAAACAAAATTATTTGTCTACTGTTAAAGTTTGTCTGTTTTTACCTTCTAGGCAAAGTGGTTGATGTTAGAAAATTAAATCGTACAAAATCTGGTCGTTTAGTTCTGCCAAAGCTAGATACACGTTATGAACAAAGTGTTGTTTTGAATCATGGAGAGATAATGGGTGTCAGTCGTAACGCAGATGATGAGGTATGTGGTAATTTTCAATTTTACCATGATTTTGATAAGCGATTAGTTTGAGGATAATTATCACGTATTGAAATCAAGTAAAATAACCACTGGAACGGTGAGAGTAGTGGGATAGTAGACAAATGTCATGTTCTAGTTTCACAAATTGGAATTGTGTACTATTAAAGTCTACCGATGAAAATGATCTCCATGTCTTGTGGTTATCCGTTTACTGTTGAGTCATAAGATCAAGATTTAACAATAATGAATCTTTTTACAATGGCCATGCATTTAGGTTGTTTTATATTCTTACCTTCATTTCATTAATTAGTACGCGTTTTACTGAGATGATCTGTTCTCATGGAGTAGAGAATCTATATCTTTCAATTAGGCTACCTCTTAGCTCTCTTTAATCTTTGTATTAGCGATTTTAAAAGTATGATCACTTAATAATGGCTACTGCTTGAGAGTAGTCACATGCATTGTGTCAACTGTTTGTTCCTCACATATTTCTTGTACTACTTTAGTGTTTGTAAGACCAACGCTTTAAGTTTCTGAAGTTGAACTCTTTGTCTGCTGTTAAGCAAAAAATCTTTTCTCTACAAACTCAAATAGTTTTCAGTTTCGTTTTAATTCGAACCTTTGGTATACATAATCGATAGTTTTACTACCCTAAAATGTGTACGACTACGTTATTTGTTGTCATCTAGTAAACACTGTCACTAGGGTGTAATCTTTTTTTGCTGATCAACTAGCTAAGTGACTCAGCATCTGTGTACTTGATGTTCAGTAGTTTTAACAAACTTTTAAGATAAGTCTTGCCCTATGGGGAAATCACTTAACTTTTTCTTTATTTATTATACGCTTAAGAGAAAGATTAAATATTTTTTGTCAACAGACATCTATTTTGAAGATCAATATTACAAATTGATGACAATGAGTTTCACGCTTCCACCACCGTCAAAATTACAGTATAGGAGTGGAGTAAATTTCTTTAGAATACAGACAGTGAATCTGTATTGTATCATTTCAAAACCCGGTCTGTCTCACTTGACAAATCAAGGATCGGAAAATTTGTAATCAATTGTCATATTACCAACAAGCACGAAACTCAGATTTAGGCAGGGATTTCTGGTGATTGCTTTCAACAATCTATGATCACATAGTGTATATTCATGGTTCATTCAATGATATTTCTTAGTCATTCGAAATGATTTCAGTTTTCTTTTTGCAAATGATACTCTTGTTATTTGTAACAGTCAACCCCCTTATTACACTGTGGTTGTTTTCAATTCATACCATTTAAGAAATGGTGATATTGAATACACGTTTTTTTTATTGAAACTAAAAATCTATCAAACTATAATGTAACTGGATTTGATGTGCATGCTTATCAATAGTGTCATAGTTTGTATCATCAATTTGCTGATATATTGTCTTGTTTTTCTCATCTACATCGTTTTCATTTTGCTTTTTTTTTTTAATTATAGACTATCCTATCCTGGCTTTCTGAATCTTCAAGTAGCTAGTCAACCATTTGTAGATTTATGTGGTATAATACATTATAAATTTATAAGCTTATTCTATGTATATATTTCTTTCAATATTAATCCTTATTTTTACACATATGCTTATATTTGTACGCTAATTTTGAATTGTTTTCGTAAATGTATGTTCATTGTTGATGAGATAAAGTTCAATGATTACCGGGTTGACATTGTCGTTTGAAAATCACTATATAACTAACTGGTTAAATTAATTTTTAAAGATTTTAAGCATTTCAGATAATTTCTTAGTTGTTTTGCCTTCTCTGAACTGGTTTAGTTTAGTCGTGATGCTATCATTGTCTTTTTAGAAAAAAAAATTCCCAGCACTAAATTCAATATGATTTAAGCTATCCAGATTTCTCCGTGAGTAAATTATTAGGTTGTCGTGACGTAGTGGTTTGTAATTTGTAGTTTTCTTTGTTGATTAATTGATTGCACCAATTTTTTTATTGGCAGTTTCTCTGCGTAACCTCTCGTCTTGTAGCTTTCTATCACTTTTCCTTATTGGCTCTATATTTGTTGATTGATGATTGACCTGAATGCCTACTCGGATACAGAAGGCCCGTTTGGCATTTGCCAACTTGCGTCATCTCTAGGGTTGAGTGGTAAGACATCCGACTATATCAAAATACGAGTATAGTGCATTGCATTGGGGTTCTTTCTGTTTTGTGATACGCCTGTGAGACATGGCCGTTAAAAGTAGAAGACATGAAGAGATTACAAGGTTTCGATCACAGATGCCTTCGTAGCGTTGCTCGCGCTTGATGAAATCACCATGTAAGCCGTGTTGAAGTCAGATTGAGCGCACTTGGCAAGACAGCTAAGTCGATTAATGACGTTATGAACCTTTGTTGACTGACGTGGATTGGTTATCTGTTCCATACTCCAAACTACTACCAACCTCGACGTGTCATGGTAGGGGAAGCTGGATTAGATTGGAAAAGGGTTCAGGATGACCAGACGAAGAGGTGGCACCAATCGATGACGTCCCTGACTGTTGATCTGATTTGCGTAGGGAGATATAGACTGTGTGATCGAGGGTCTTTGTGGCTAAAGGAATCAGTTGGCTGGGAAGTTTAGTGACATGTCTGAAAATCGGTCACGGTGATGGAGATGTATTCACTCTTTGACATCTGAAATGCGAATGTTTTTACTAACCATTGTCTTTAGATTGTTTATTTCCACACACTTTTTCAGTCCACTTATTCTTTGTATACTACCATGGAGTGTGGTAACTTGAGCTGATACACTTGTGTGTAAGGTTCTGCGTTGATTTTCTCAGTCTGTCGGTGACTGCTCAGCCTCTACGAATTCTTTGTGTCTCCTCTATTCAAGACTTGTTACATTTTCAAAACTGAATTCATGTCCATTGCTCTCGACAAAATGTTTTGACGTTTAATAACCAACTGACGTTCATGTAGACGAAGAGGGTGATCACTTAGTTCATTGTAGTGTCGATCTCAATTGTTACAATTGAATATTTAAATGTTTTCTTTGGCTGGTGCCTATTTTGGTTTCAAGGGAATTTGCTGGATTATGCGCCACGCTAGTTCCAAATGGTCTCGTGATTTCTGATATGTTCTTTATGTATGGCAGGGTGATCTTACTGGTTTTCATGGACAACTTTGTGGTTGATGGTATACTGAATAAGCATCTTATGATGAAGTTCCGTTCTCTAGGACACGATATCCATCAAGTTATTTTCTTCGTTTCCCAGTGAAGTTGTTGTACTGCAGTTTGTTCTTGGTGTTATGAGTAGAGTTAGTACACAATTAATTTTATGGATTGTTTGGTTGTCACTACTGCACTGAAAGATTTGATCAGTATGAGTTGCCTTCCTGCACACTTGAGTTTTCTGACATTGGTTCTAGGGACTAAAACATCCAGGAATGACAGTTTGTTGTTCTAATCCTCCATTATGAATTCGATATAGTTGAAAACGTTGTTGATCAAACTGTATATGTTTTCCAATTCATCCTTTTTATTGAAAACAAAGTGTCATCCACAGCAGATCTAAGTTTTCGGTTTGATCACCTGCAAAACAATGACTTCCAGTCCTTGCATTCCTGCTTCTGCAGTTAATCATCTGGATATCAATGATCTCATTGGAGTTCGTTTTTTTTGTTTTTTCGTTTGTATATCTCACCATTAAATTGGAAGTATGCTGACAGACGAAGATCAGTGAGTCCCATCAAAATAGAATACTGCAGTCAGTTGAATTATAGGCATTTACGACTGAGTACGCTGATTTCTTCACGTTTAACAATAGAATAGTTGTTCCCACTAGTTTCTTTTTTTATGACGAATGTTTTTTGAACGAATGTTTACTTTTCGTTTGAATCATGAGCCCATTACTTTTTCTGTATGTATGACTAAAGCGTCTCACTAGGTAATCTAGCCTACAAATACTATATACTTTTTAAAACTAAACTTAATCTGTACTGCATAACTGATTAACAATAACAGTCTTCCAAATCTCATATTCTTTTCCATGTCACTTATCGTGTGTCATGCTGACATCTGGTCTGAGAGTGTCGAAGTGTAAAGCGCTACTGGTTCACTGTCGGACTAACTCGTTATTATGGGTAACAAATTCCGCTCATCGGTAAATAATATCTCCACTGTATGATACATCAAAAGTAACTTCAATGGGATTACGTCATCACCAGTTTGGAAAGTAATCTTAAGTGCAAATCGCAAAATTACTCGGAGAGTAGCTGAAAACCTTGGATTACTGGACTGTTATTTTGGGACTTCTTAACAATGGGCACCCAAGACCCGTGAAAGGTCGAGCCGAGGATCGTCAAGCCTCATGATGAGAATGTAACTATTCAGTTGGTTACAATGCAGTGTTTCACTATCTCGTACCTCTTGATTCGTGATCATAATTGAATGTCGTCTATATGCATCCACCTGACTTCCGAATTAACACCACAAGTCATGGCTTATCATTAGGACCTCGAGAAACCCAACTCAAAGCAAGTCACTAGTGTTTTGTAAGTATTTGTTGATTATAAAGTAATGAGCTGCTATCTAGTACTCTCCGGTTTCCAGTGGTTATGCAACCGATGTTAATCCCTGAAGAAAATTACATTCAACTCAATTAATCCCTACAGACAAGCAATTGGATAACCGGCTCATTCTGCTTATCTCCTTTGCACTTGGGAAAGCGAGGAAGTATCACACCATCGTGCATGAAGAGATACAAAATACTCGATGCTCAAGATTATAAATATTGTTTAAACATGAGTTTGAAAATAATTCAGAAGATCATTAGATCAGGTTTTTTTCCTTGAATGTACTCGCTGAGATGCTAATCAGTTAGTGCGTATCAGACTTAACATATGGCAAAAAGTGCTTTTAATCCAATATTGTAATGGCATACATATCCTTGTGTAATCGATCGTTGCTTAGCAATGAAGATTGTTTACCCGAAAATCTATCATATAGTTACTTGGCTTCCTAGGTGACGAGGAATATTCGTAACTTATGAATAAAAGCTGTTTATAGAATGTTTGATAGTCTGCATAAACTCGTATGCTCCAAAATTCAGTGACCATAAAACATCCTATGGAAAATAGGTTTTTTTCATGTAGTTAGATAATTGAATCATATCTGCCATTCGATTATTCATTGACCGGATTGATTTCGATAACTGTGTGTTCGGTCTACTGGCTTTTATGTGACTGCATGACTGGAGTTGGAGCTGAAAGTTTGCTTATCGTAAGATTCAAACCATGGGGCTCACTGCAAATAACACTGCAGTATTGTTAACTCAGTAGTTGCTTTTCCTTGAAGGCTGTCCTTGACCATCAAGCTAATCTCTATTTTCAGATTACCGTTAGGTAAAGTTTAACTGATACTAGGATGTCGGTTAGTCGAGGTTTCGTAGAGCAACAATGAAGTTAGTCTTTCCTTGTGGAAATTCCCTCTTGACATCTTGAACATTGTTCAGATATCACTAATAGCCAGGGACAGCCGTTGTTAAGTGTACACAAACACTGTTGCAACAGGAAGTAATGAAATAACGACTTGTTGAGTGTAACCACTGCATAGTCAATGAGCTTGTCTATCTATATAAGTTATAGTTGACAAGCCGTTAAACTCCACAGGATGCTGTCATGCGTAAAAGCAATTAGGGACAAGTTTATTTCGCTTTCAGTTCTAGAATTCCTTACTATGCATCCAAGCTGATGAAGTCTATGAATTTTTTTAGGCTTACGATATGTATTTACGGTGCTAATCTGTACCATCCGAAATCGCTGCACATATCATGGTCTCTTTGCGTTTGTTTTATCAGCATTCTGGATATACATTTTCAGAAATGCAAGAATTACATTTTACATCAAGTAATTCATTCACCTATGCTCGACTGACATTTTGAAAACAAACTGTCCATCCATACATTCAGTTGAGGCATTTGATGATTAATTTCCCAAACATCTAAGCTGTCACGAAGAGTCATGAGTCGTTATCGCTTTACGGCGCACGTTTACGATGAATTTGTAGGAGGCTGGTTGTGTTAACATTGCCTAACACTTAACCGAGCTTATATAGGTTGATGTGCTCTAATACAAAGGTAATCACTACCTTATCTGCGTTTAGTTACTGATGGCAAAATAATACAACGTTAGAAGCAATTTATTTATTAGTTTGAGGTAGAAAAGTTATTTTAGTGGGAAACCTACAACGTATTTGTCTGTTAATAGCTGGACTAGGGAGTCCGAGTGCAGTGGTGCTGATCAACGCGAAGCAGATGGAGAAAGTGATGAATGTCAATGGATGGGTGCCCACACTTTGAAAAGAACTCACAGAACTGAAGTCACTACCGCCGAAGATGATTTAGCCAATATTTAGAAATTTTAGGTGTTTATTTATTTCAAATCAGGTAGTACTTTTGGTGCCAAGAGGGTGCACTAAGATGTAAAGACCGGCTTAGACATGTAACTAAGAGGATAAAAATTTTTGACTAACCAGATCTTATAATATACACATCTCAGCGGTTGAGAATACTATAAGCATCCAGGCCATAGTTGTTACGAATCTCCTGAAAGAGGTTGTGAGTATTATTCGGAACATTCCTAGCTAATTATTTTCTTACCTGATAATTACAGATGTTTCCAATAACAGTGATACTAATATCATCAAATGTATGACCTGATTGATCGAGCACACCTTGATGAGCTTCTCTGTTATCAAAATAACTTGTAAAATCCGACCTCCTGGAATGCTCTAAACG